GGGGCAGAGCAGGACAAACGCCGCGCGTCACGCGAAGCACAGCTCGCGCCAGAAACAAGGGAGGAATGAAGGGAAACGCCAGCGCGCGTGCGCGAATGCGTATAGCAACTCTCCCCCCTCGCTCCCCGTCGATTCGATTGTGCCTCGATAGAGCCTTCCGTCCAACTCCATTGGGCTTTGTGCGCGCAGAGCTTCTTGGGAATGGTAGTACCGTGTGTTTTACTTGCGCGGAGGAGCATACAGTGGTTGGAATTGAATATCAGCCATTTTGTTGGATTTGCTTAATTGAAAAAGAATGATTTACAGTACTGAAATCATTATATATTATCGACTGCCAAAATTAAACATGATGTAATACATACACGGCACTAAAAGAAATTATTAAAATTGTTGAAAGGATGAAATAGGTTACAATCTTACATACAGTGACTGAGCCTACCTCCTATTGAATTCAATTAGATTTATTTTCTCATAGACGATAGGTTCAAGATTGCATCATTTTAACTAGATATGCAGTATGAATCTGTACCCTGCTGGGTTCATGCATAGTTTTTTTTTCTTCATATAGAATACAAATATAAAAAGTATTTAAATAAATTAAGGTTTAAGTGTCTCGAAACTAGGAAAAATGCCTCTCCTGGATAACTAATAAGGCTAGGACTACTGAATTCAGACCTGAGGCGGTTTTGAAGGAGCGATTCAGAGGGCAGGAAGGGGGTGTCATGTGACCAAAGATAATCAAGACCAGGGAAAATGTTAGGAAAAATTGTTAGGCTCTGAAGTCCCAGGATTTAATTCTTGTATGAAATAAAGTAGGAAGCACCAAAGCAAACTGGTTTTGTATCAAGCCTGATACTATTAATTGTTCTGTGTAAGTGTGCTTAGGATAATGGACAGGATTTTAAATTCATGTATTTTTCCCTTATCTAGTTCCCTTGGTTTTATTGAATACTCAGGACTGACTGGAAAATAAAGTACAGTACTTTATTACAGTTCACGTAGTAATAGTAATGGCTTTATGCCCGGGCCTGGGGCCCCAAGTATGTGAAGGGGCCCGTTTCATGATTGTGTCGATACCGACGGTTTTTAAAGATCTCTTGGCTGCATTTATATTATATTCATTTTTTGTACTGTTTTTAATGTTGATTGTTTTTATTGTTGTTAGCCGCCCAGAGTCACTGGTCTGAGATGGGCGGCTATATAAATTGAATAAATAAATAAATAAATAAATAATCCACACCATATTCCCACCAGTGGTCCTGTATCTTTAACAATGACAGGCTTTATATCACCACAGTGGTAGTGTGGAAATGCCCACATAATCATATACCATATGTATATGATTAAGCATATGATATTATGTTTGTGACCCATCTAATAATAGAGTTATTAGACCCTCTAATAATTCTACTTCAGCCTTTCACAACCTGGCTCACTCTATTTATGTTGGACCACAACTCCACTAATTTCCAGTTGCCATGGTGATTTGGAATGTGATAATAGTTATGGTCCAAATCCTCTACAAGGCATCCTCCTGTCCCTGAGGAATCCCTATAGGTTTTTTTCCCTCTTAATTGCACAGGGTAATCATATACATGTTTATTTAGAATTAATTCTGTAGAGTTCAGTGGAGCTTACTCCCAAACATGCATGGGATGATAGGTTTAGATTGCCCTCAGATACCCATTTTCTGGTATATCTGTACATTTCGTCTAGAAGCAGAGTTACAGTTTTCTGTAACTCCATCTAAAGTTGTCTGGATTTTTATACCCTGCATATGACATCTTTAGTTAACTCAGTGGTAGTTTACTCAATTCATCCCCTTTTCTGAACCATAAACTGACCAGATATGGAGAAGGTAATAGATTTGCATAACATACTTGGCTAAAATGTGGGTTGTTTGCTTATGTTTCAGCGTATTACATGAATCCAACTGTAATGTAATTAGATCAATTACATTAGTATAGTAGCAATCTTCCTCATCCCATTGTCTTCCAATTTGTTGTATTCTGGCTCCCATTATCCTCTGTCAGCATGACAGGAGTGTATTCTAGCATATCTGGAGGGCAATAGCTGCAATTTAAGTGTAATTAACTAATGCAGACTTTCACTATTCTAGTACTCTCCATGTTGAGATATGATGGGAGTTATAATCCAGTGTTAAATACAGTAGGTTCCAACGTATCTGGAGGGTGGCTATTAATCCACACTGAGCTACTAACCTCTCACAAGTGTTTTAATTATTGATTGCTATGCTGATAGCTAAAAGTATTACCATTCTCATTAACCGTTTTGGATGCAGCCTTCTTCATTTTCAACATATTAAATATTTGTTAAAAAGTTTGTTTGCTTGTTTATTTATCATATTTATATAGCCGCCCATCTCACACAAAGTGACTCTGGGGAGCGTACAACAATTTAAAAAAATACATAAAAACAGTTACAAATAAAAAACTATAAAAGTTCCTAAGTTGTGTGTTTCAGAGTTATATGTTTTATCTGCTGTGTTGCCATGATGTGTTTGGCCAACTAAGCCCAATTATCTGTGCTTGCTTAATATGGAATTGCTTGCTGTGATTCCATAACTTAACCACAAGGGTAGGCACAACACTTTAGACTAAACTGTAGCATGTTGTTAGATGTACTGTGCAAACACAATCATTAAGGGAAAAAGAAATCAAAACTTGTATGTGCATTTGTTCAGGAATAAGTTTAACTAAAGTGAAGTCTGTGGCTAAGTTTGCATAGCATGCTAACCCATTGTTAACTACAACTGAACTAGTTTTAACAAAATTCACCCAGTTGCCTAAGTATGCTCATGTAACTGCATAGCTGCATAGCACATTAACATAGCCACCAACTAGCCAACCACATTTTATGTGATATGCAAAAATAATGTATGATTCTTACCCTTTCTAGTTTAAGGATGTAACCTCCATTTTATGTGATGTGCAAAAATAATGTATGATTCTTACTCCTTCTAGTTTAGGGATCTAACCTCCATTTCATTCCTTATTCGCTGTGTTTCCGAGTTTATGAAGACTCCCATTCATTCATTAACGAAGGACGTCAAGAAAGTTTCCAGGCTAAGAAACATGACTGTCAGCAAGACTTTAGTCCCTGATGCATCTATAGTATGCAAATATGTACAAACATTTTAAACCCTTCAGTTTAAACTGTTGGACATTGGATGAGTATTTAAGGAGAGAGAATTTGGCGCTTGAGTTCACTGAAGTCCCTAATGAAATACAGAAATGTCCTGTACGCGGAATATGAATAAACCGCCATGTACAAAGCAAGATTCGAGCTGTTTATTGCTGTCACTTCAGAAGAGAAACACCGAAGCTCTGGCTGACTCTGCAGGCGTTTATTTAGGTCTACTTTTCTCTTTTAGACGAGTTAATCGATTACTCTGGGATTGACTTCCCGCTGCCTACCGTTTGATATGGCGACGTCGAAGGAGGAGGCACGTGGCCTTTTCAGGCAGGGTGTGCAAGCGGTGTTGGACAGCTGGCCCGTGTTGCAGGTTAGGAGTCTTTCACGGTAGCGAGAAGAAGTGGGTGGACGGAGGGAGGGAGAGTGGGTTGAATGTGCTAAAAAGGGTAAACTGTATTTTTGAGCTGCAGGTATCTGAAAAGAGCAGGGAGTGTAGCAATAGGAAAAATAGAGAACAACTTGTTTGGAGACGTGACTTCGTTCTCCACCTCACCCCGACCTTGGTGCTGGTGGCACGCTCGCGCAAAAACAACAAAAAAGGGCACACATGGTTTCTTATTTTTGGTTTAGTGGATTATACCTACCAGTCAGTTGTGGTAGGCTATTACATCTGGCCTGCAAAACGCCGAACGGCCACTAGACGGCAGAAAGATAGAGAAACCTCTATTCCTTCGCTGCCGCCTAGTGATTGTCCGGATTTTTGCAGCCCAGATATGGTGGCCCTCAATTGTGATCTCTTAAAAATCATGGTTTACTGTGTTGTATGAACACTGGCCGATATGTTGAGATACGAAGTTTTGCAGGTGGGCGATTGATTTAATGGGTGTGTAATGAATTGGTAGATGAGATTGATTTTACATTGATTGTGTGTTTATTTAGTGAAATTGTGCATTGGGATCTTTTATATGCTTGCTAAAAACTAAGACTAATTCCAGATGTCAAGCTTAATTTGATTGATTAATTGATTATGTGCCATCAAGTCGTTTTCAACTCCTTGCAACCACATAGATTTTCTCCATGATGATCTACCCTTAACCTGGTTTTTCAGGACTTCCAACGTGCACTGATCGCCACTGTAACTGAATCCATCTGCCTTGCTGCTGGTCATCCTCTTCTCTTTCCTTCCACCTTTCCCAGCATTGGAGCTTTTTCCAGAAACAAGCTTAATTTCCTTTTTGCTTATTTGATGAATTGAAAAGTAACATCCATATGTATTTTTCTTTAGGGCTTTTTATTGCAAAAGATATAGTGTTAGTATATGTGGTTATGTTCCCCCAGCATCTGATTAACATATGTGTAGTTAGTTTATGGTTTACAGTGTCATGTGAACCTAAGCAGTTCAGTCTAGTTTAACCCTGGATAAGTATGTCCTTTGCAATTGCCTTATACTTGTCTTGCATACCCATTCTGACATGGTTTTCCTCCCACTTTTATTGTGTCAGTCCTGATTCCTAGCAACTACCTTGAAAAGTCCCTGCAATTTCCTTGGCAAGATTTTCAGAAGTGGTATGCTATTGCCTTCTTCTTAGGGCTGAGAGAGAGTGTGATTGGTCCAAAGTCACCCAGCTGGCTCCATGCCAAAGGCAGGACTAAAACTCATGCTCTCTCAGTTTCTAGCCTGGTGCCTTAATTACTACATCAAAGTGGCTCTCTTTTTCTTTTACCTCCCATTTGTTCCCTGTTTATTTCTGACATGTTGCTTCTGAGGCAGCATGTTAGGGGCTACTAGATCTGGGCTATAAACATCTTGACAACCATTAGATGGCAACCACCGCTCCTTGATTTTCATTACTACAACTTGCAAATCATCTGCATTTTCAGCTGTCAGAGTAGCATCATTAGGTTATTGATGTTTCTTCCTCCAGTCTCAAAGCCATGCTCATCTTCTTCCAATCCAGCTTCCTTGACCATATATTCTGCATATACTGTAGGTTGAATAGATAAGAGGAGAGTTGTCTCACATCTTATCAGCCTGGAGTCAGCCATGCTTCACACTGTGACTTCCTGACCTATGTATAGATTCTGCATGAGGACAATGAGATGTTCTGGGATTCCCATTTTTCTAAGCACATTCCATAGCTTGACATGGTCAACATAATTAAAGGCTTTTCTATAATCAATGGAGCACATATTGACTTCTTTTTGCTATTCTTTGGTTTTGTGTGCAGCAGCAATAACGGCTCTTGTTCTTCAGTCTTTTCTAAAACCAGCTTGAACATCTGGTATCTCCCTCTCCATGTATAATTCTATATCAATGATCCTAAATGCTGTTTTGCTAGTATATGAAATTAAGGATATTGTATGATAGTTGTACACTCTGTTAAGTCTCTTTTTTTCCTTAGTAGGAAACAGTATGACTGTCTGAAAGAGTTTAATTCCAGTCCATTTCAGTTTGCTAATGCCGTAGTTGATTCGTTTCATCTTTTACCGTGTTGAACTTTCCCATGTTCGTGCTTCTTATGTTCCATGTTCCCACCATAATTCTGTCTTTCAGCTTCAGATTTTTTCCTGCATGGCAACATCAACAACTAGACACCCCAGAGGCTTTAATCTAGCCACCTAATAATGCCATTAGTACTCCAAAAGATCTTCAGCTTTTTCTCAGTAGTGTGTTGAGTGCCATTTGACATGACAGAGCCATCATCTGGCACTCTGTTGTCAGTCACTTTATATTGTCTAGCCATGTAGTTTTCTAGATAAAATACAGGAGTGGTTTACCATTGCCTTTTTCTGTGCAGTATAAAATGATGCCTTTGCCCTCGTCATTAGAGTGAATGTCTGCCCCAGCATCTTCCTATATTGCTGCTGCCCAATATAGGTACCTGCTTGCTTTAGCTCGGATGAGCTTCATATTCCTGATGTAAACTCCCAATGTTTTTCCCTCGTTCTTCCCAGGAACAACACCTCACCCCACCCTATTGAAGCAGCACACCAGGACTTGAGAGGGGCATATTTTGATAGGCTAAAATATGGGTTGACTAGCTAATATGTTATGCCACGCAAACCCAGCCAGTCTGTTTATACAACAGTATTGAAAAATAAAGATTTAATTCTTCATGAATTAAACTGAGTAAATGAGAGAATATAATAACCCCATATACAAATACATTATTATAAGATACTATGTTGTCAAGACAGAAACCAGGAGAGAAACCAGGAGAGAGGAAGTAACTTTTCTGTTGAGGTGATGACAGTAAGATGTTAAATTATATTTATCCGTGGAATGAACTTAGAAGAAATTGTACCACCTCTCACCAAATAAACTTGGTTTCACCATAGTTATGTGAACTTTGTTCCAGTCTGGTCAAGAATAAGGAATGCATATTATTAGTTTATTTAACTAAATTAATAATGCCAATATACTCAAAAAGTGAACTCTCAACTTTAAAATACATCTAATACTTGGGTGCTTTTCATCTTTTAGATTTCCCTATTCTGTACATGTCTTAATATGCTATACAAATATGGCTCCTTGAATTGTAATGTTCAGACACTGAACCTCTGTAACAAGTGGCAAAGGGGCTAAGCACAGTACTAGAGGACACAGCTTGCGTGCAGCTAGCTGGTGAAGGGCAGTTAGATAGCATGCTCTACTTGATAAAATGAATTCACAAAACATCTGAACCCACCTCTCATACATAATGGAATTGGAAACTATAGTGATTTACTAAAATCAGACTGAGCATGACAGGACCAAAATGACAGTATAGACAGAAGGTAAAAAGCTGAATAAATTATGCTCCTTCCCTTTTAGGTGGACTGTCAAGCAAATGACACATACATGTTTGTATGTATCTATTTCACCTTTTATTTACAAAAAATTTTAAAAATGCTTCAAGATTATTGGAAGGATGTGTGTGTTTTGGTAATGTCCTAGTTCACCTTACCAGTTGGCCCTCATTGAAACCCACATCGGGAGAAAAAGTGGCTTTTCCCTAATTCAGCTCCTGAAACCGAACAGGAATGTGAAGAACAATTTTGTTTTGTTATTAGAGCTCAGCCAAGGACTGAAAACACTATTTGAATAATGGTAGAGTATTATCAAACCAGTTCTGTCATGATTTAAATTATGCCTATCATCACCCCAAGCAGCTTTACAAAAGTTTGCCTCTTTGCTGCATAAGCTCCCAGTTACTGTTTATGAACATATCCTTGTCTTCTTCCAATTGCAGATTGCAGTTGAAAATGGCTTTGGAGGGGCATATAGCCAAGAGAAAGCTGAATGGATGGCGAGGGCTGTGGAACAATACTTTGAAAGCAATGGTGAGATAATGTCCTGTTGATTGAGATGGTAGATTGGGTGGGATATGGGTGGTCCATGATGTACCTAGAATTATGATGGTACAGTATTCTGATCTGTTACTTATTCATTGCTAATGACAGATGAAGAGCCTGATTCTTGTCCTATGTATGGCATAAAATGGTGGATCTTTAATTTCAAGTAGCCCTTAGGGGTTAGAACCCTCACTGCCATGGTGAACCTTCTAAAATGTAACAGACATTAAAAAACAGAGATAAAAGTCTTCATGTTTATTAGAGTTTCAAAACCATAAACTGGGACATCACTTTAAGGATAATTATGACCACCTAGTATCCCAGGATCAACATTGCTAGATTTAAATAGAGGCTCTGGGATCAGAGCTTAATGAGTACAGTTAAAAGGCCTGAAGCTGGCTTGTATGCTTTCTTTATGGAGAGTAGTTGAGACCTGGAGGGTTATGTTGGATGGAGCATAACTCCAGGCATCTATGAAAATTTCCTGTGCAATTCTGTGTTATTTGACTGTGTGTCCAACCTCTCTGCAGCTGACCTTGAACCAGAGGAGATGGAGGATCTCCTTGCTGAATTGATGAACAATGAATTTAACACTATAATAGAAGATGGAAGCTTGGCTCAGGTATTCACGTTAGTCTCTCACGGGAAGAAGAGTGCTGTCCTCCTGTCCTTTCCCCACACCTGACTGCCAGTGCTCCTCTTGGATAATATGCAGTTGGAGGAGTTATATGGAGTTTTGATGGTCCCACACGCAGATCATCTCTCCGTCATTCTTTGTTTTGAAAGCTTTTAGACAGATCAAGAGCTTTTTCCACCACTAATTGGTGCACCTCCTGTTGAGGTGCTTCATAGAACTCCCTGTGAGTTGGGTTCTGTACATCACTGTACTGTTTAAGTCTTCAACAGGTGAGAAGGTTGCCCCATAACATTGTTTTATTGCAACTGAATATTGTTCCTTGCAAAACCAAACAAAAAGTAGTCTGCATTTGCCAGGGAGAAAAGCTATATTTGAATCTTTCTCCTGTGCATCTGTTTATCTCCAGGAAATGTTTTGTGCAGCTTGTTGTGGAGAAGGTGCTGCAGGGGGCACTCACTGTGCCTGTCCATGCCTCCTTAGGGAAGCTGTGCCTTTTCCAGTGCTTACACAGCTATGTGGTTTCAGGAGAGTACATGTTGGAGTTAAGGTAACGGTGATAGAATGTGACAGCCTTGCTTATTTTTAAATACTAGCACCTGGATTCAACAACAAGATGCTTGCTTTAATATGGCCTATGCCATTTAACAGGGTTGCTAGTAAACATCTGTGTGAAACTACTGGGTGAGATAATTTCTCAATCTGTGCTGTCATCAGTCTCTTAGCAGTAACCAACTTTATTCCAATAGAAGAGAATATCTGTAGCTCAGGGTTGAACTGTGGAGCCTTTGGTGCTCCCTGAGCTTGGTTGTTTGCTTGCACACATTTCATTACCCAACTAGGAAACATCATCAGTACGAGTGTGGGGTTTGCTCCCTGTTTATATACAGTAGCTTGCCCTGCCAGTGTTGATGGGGGTGTGGTTTTCTCCTTGGGAGTTTCTTGATTAGGGTATTGTTTTCTGCTTGAGTTGCATTGTGTAACTTGCTGACCAAGCCACAATTAACTGGATGAGTGCCTCATGCTAAATCACACAGAACACAGTATCCTAATTAAACTAGTGCTAAGGATTTAAAATGGTTCTCACTTCTCCAGCTGACCAAATCACAAGCAACCATAGTGGGGCACTATTGCTCCATATGCTAAAGTATTGCACTTATGCAACTCGATCTGACTTTTTCTTCGTATCAGATTTATGAGCTAAGTGCTTGTAAAATGCTAGGTCATAGTTTTTACACTGTAGATGGCAGTACCCTAGAGAAGTGCAAGATTCTTAACAAATTCTTGCTGGATGCACGGAACACACTGAGCCAAATATTTGGCATAACATATTATATGAACCCAGCTATTATGGTTTGTGAACTATTTATGGTTTACTGTTATATTGGTTTATTGTATAGCTGGGGGGATGTGGAGGAAGAGAACCAGAGTTTATGTGAGCTTTTGAATCTTGAATTATATTTATCCTCTTTTGGACCATAATCTGTAAAGCTAATTATTTATGAAACTTTTATCTTGGATTGCTCAGAGGGAGGACAGAGTAAAAGAAATAGAAAGCTTTGCAAATGAGTGAAACCCCCGCAAATAAGCCTAGTTATGATACTGTATCATTGTACCTGAAGATTATACCAAAATGTGTATGTGTGGGCTTTAAACATTCCCTTTGGAGATTATAACTGAACATGAAGAAATTAGAAGGCTTTGAAGTTTGCTATATAAACTAGAGAATTTTCATCCAGAAATATTACAAAGAGAGAATTTCCAATTTCAAACTGTGCCTTTAAAGTAATAGCTGCCTCTTTGTAGCACTTCGGCAAGGACTTACTGAAATACATTTATAAACTGAACCGATGAAGGAAAGGCTCAAGCACTAAAACAGTGGTCCTCGCTAGAGATGGCTACAAACAAAAGGGGCTGTGCCCAGTAAGTGAAGATATTGATGTGCACATTAAATCTCAAAAACAATCAAGGATTGCTGCCTTTTCCCCAGAGGTGTAACCCCAATAAATTCTGGTGATCAGAGCAGTGACACAAAAGTAAACAGAAAGGAAAACAACATGCCGTGTGAATGGTCTTTTGGTCCTTACCACTCTTGGACAAATATGTATTACCAACATTGTAGATAAGAGGACCTCCAATGTTGGAAATATTATGAAAGAAATAGCTATTGCTGAGACAACTAAACTCCGAGACTACAAGCACATGGACAATAGTGTACTTGCGGTACAACCATGCACAATAAGAACTCTGTATAGCCATTGCAGTTTATTCAGTACACATTGTGAGACAGACAATGGCTTAGCATATTGTGTACATAGCCACTCACTGGCCATACATTGCTCTAAACCATAACATGATTTGTTATGGTTTGAAAAATGTGTTGCATTTTGGCTTACTCAGTAAACTGTGATTTATGTGTCTCATTTGTCTAGAAGGCGTTGATTTGGAGAAGGCCCAAGCTCAAAGCCATTCTCAGTTCCAGAATTGACTGTATTTGTCAACAATTATCTGGGGGGGGGCTGTGGGGAGGCAAGCTGGAATGAGAAAAAGGGAGGATGAGATAACAGTGTTTTAAGTGTTTATATTTTGAATATTTTGTGATATATTTAATGCTGATGTGACTTGCTAAAAAGCCTTAACTGTAAAAATAGCTTTAAAACTCCAGATGTTCCTCTGGCTCTGAAGGATTAAAGTCAGCCATTACTTGGAAGGTTATTTTAACCAATCTGGCTTTGTACAGTATGCTTGCCTAAAATGTGATTGACTAGTTTGTGGCTCAGTGAGTTGGATGAATTCAGCCAGCATGGCTAGTTATTGGTACAGGGAGGTATGTGAACCCAAGCCATTGGATTAAATTCAGTAAACCTTGGCTTAAACTATTGTGTAAATATAGCCTGAGAAGCGGTTGCCACATTCTACATATGAAGTTGGATCTATGGGTATGTGAAGACCAACAATTCCATAGTGTGGGTTGTTGGTTTTGGCTTAGCATTGTGGTTGAATTAAGCCACTGTTGTGGTCAGAAAGCCATGGCTTGGTACCACATGTGAACCCATTCTATATTTTTAGCGTTTGGAGCATCTTCTTTAACTAACATACCTCTTGGATGTTGATCAGTTAATGGCAGTAATTTTAGCCAAACATCCTTGTAAGTCCATTACTACTGAAGAATAGTATAACTAGTCATAATCTATCCAATAGCTTTGCATATCTAGCCTCTTATGCTGAAAGAATTGGGAGACACCAGCTCCTGGCATGGAAAGAAGAGAACTAGAAGCAGCTGCTTTTAAGCCATAAACCTTTTCTTCATGGGGAGGGATGCTGGTCAAAGCCTTTATCTACTAAGCAGCATTTCTGATCATGCAGCAGTGTTCAGAGTTGGTGAGGCAAGGGGTGAGATGGCAGATGGGACCAGTTTGTGGGGTAGTTATTGGCTCCTCCAAGGTAATGAGAGATCTCTCTCTCTTCCCACGCTGTAGGTAAGCCAGCAGCTGTGCCTGTTCTTCAGACAGGGCTATCAAGGAGATGTTGCAGCAATGCGTGATGCCATTATCCAACTGGCCCAGAAGAAACAAGAGGCTAGGAGGGCAGTTGCCAAATCTCAGCCAGCTGCAGAAAGCAGCAGTGAGGAAGAAGAAACCGAAGAAGAGGTATTGCAAAGACTTCTGAGAATTAAGACTGAGCTCATAGAGCAGTCTGCATACAAAGTGACTTTGTAAATCTGAATGAAGTCTGAAGGCTTTGGTGTATGTTCTGTGTCTATTTGTCATAGGAGAATTAGAAACTGATACTGAATTCAGCCAATTCTTAAAATTGTGTTGATTATTGTGGGATGATGGCAGTTTAATCTGCCTGGATTAGGCTTCTGTGCAGCTGGTATCGTAAGAACTATCTGCTTGATACTGAAAATTAACAACTAGATTTTAAGATAAATTCTGCAGTTATATTAGCCACTACGTGTTTGTTTTGAATTAGCCAGCTGTGTCAATAGGTGGGAGCCAATTATGGTTTATTCAAGACACCATGGAAAACAAACCATGAGCTTGATCATCTTTGTTCTCTGTTTCTTCCTCTTCCAGGCCATGGACTGCAGTGCTGGTTCCACCATGAATGGATCACAAAGCAACCCTTCTCCGCTGTCAGGTACAACTACTGAAGATGGTTGGACATTGGTGAGGAAGAAAAAGAAATGAAGAAAAAAAATATGATGACAGACCTGAACAGATACAGTAGTGAACTCTTACGCTGCCAAGGCTTGGACATTTCTATAGGAAGCATGATAGACTTCCGTATAAGCCTGGGCACGTTGGAAGCACTTTGTTGACTGTACCTTCGCTCCTGACTTAACAGAGGCTGAATGGAATCCAGTTGGGTGGTATAAAACCTTTTTAATCTTTGAAGTTGCTTCCCCTTCAAGAAATGGAGTATATTCTTTTGCCTCAGTGACCTTCCTGGGCTTTGAAATAAACATTGAACAACAATGTAGGTTCTTTGACAGAGAAAGTCCTCCTGCTGTGCCCTGTTCATCTGTCATTTAGTTCAAGTCATTGGAAAGGAGGTAACTATTTCCTTTCCTTTCAGAAGACAAAATCTAGCCACCCCCCACTGTACAAAGAAAGGACTGCATCCACGCTTATTGAAAGAAAAAGAAGAATATAACAGAAAAAAATCCTGTATTTAAAAAAAAAGAACAATGAAAATCAAAACACAACAATGGAACAAAAAAGTAAAATGGACAATACACAAATCATGGTGGTAGGACACAGGAAGTTTTGGTCAATAAAAGCTTCCCTTCCCTAACCTTTGCAGTGGCCAGCCACTATACAAGAGCAACAATAAAATATTATTTTGGTAAGATTTTGTATATCCCTTAATACTGAGGCCTTTTTTTTAATATAAAAGTTACATGCACTAGTTCTATACCACAGGAGGGCGAAGATAAAGAATACGATGAGTACCAACAGCAACACCAGGAAACCTACGTAAAATAAGGCAAGGATTTGTTTTTTGTTTAAATCCCACATACACACAAAATCTCCACTCATTTTGTGTGTGGAAACAGTACCAGCAAAAAAGGGAGGAAGGGAGAGCGATACCTCAGGGGACTTTAAGAACCTCCAAGATAGTCCAACAAGGTTCAAGAGTTCTGAAATGTTGGCCATTTTAAGTGCATTGTATCAAGGAGAGGAAGCGCCTGCATTTGGTTACAGGGGAAGAAGGGTACTTTATCTATTATTGTAATAACCACGCTTTGTATAGAATCTCATGCACGAATATCCTGTTACCTAGCCCGGGAGTGGCCCATTCTAAGCCAGCTGGGAACTTCACATTATTTGCCAGTGGAATGCCTATCAGGGACAATATCTTCCTGGATATTTGATGCTGGAGACTGGCTGTTAAAAACAGCATAAAATGGTTCTGAAATTGCAAATCAACCTATCTCTTATTAATACTTTAATATTTTTCTTTCTTGAGCAGTGTTATCAAAATCAGCATCATATAAGCAGGTCTGTGAGCTCAATCTGGCTATTGAGAAAGGTTCCTTTTGCTTATAGAGTTTGTGTTAATGGGAAAATTAATAGACTGCACTAGCACTGTATTCTAATGTTCACGAATCTTAAGCTAGGACCTTGGCAATCTTTCAGTAATTTGGCCCTGGTCCTTATTCCCTGTCCCTTAAAGAATTCTAAGGCTAAATATAGATATTCTTGGCTGTTCCCCAACCTTTCCCATGGGCCACCTGAATGGAATTTGTTAATAAGTTTGAGAACCTCTTTCTGGACCTTGCTTTGACCCAAGAAATCTAATCTCCCCATCCCCATTGAGAGTTCAAGAGCCACTGGGGGTACGATGGCACAGACATGTTAAATAAGTTGGGGTGAAATGCTGACACTGAAATGAATGATATTTGAAGTATCTGGACTTTCAAATTGGAATACAAACCCTTAGTTGTATTCCAATTCAATGTATATAGTCTTGGTCTCTAGTGTCAGACAACAGGCTGTTCACTGTAGAAAATTTCTCCCCCAGTATGTCTATGCTCCTTGCTCCTCAGAAAGATGACATTTTCCAGCTGCTGTTTTAGATTAGTAGGTGACATATGACCCTCCAGAGGTTGCAGAACTCTCAACTTCCATCAGCCCTTGCCAATGTGGCCAAGTGGTTTAAAAAAAAAAAAAAGATAGGAGATGCACTCCAACAACACACAAAAGGCCACAAATGTTCACCTGATGATCCATTAACGTTAGCTAACTATGGTTCTCTTTTGCCATTCTATTTAATTGGAAAAAAAGGCCCAATCACAAACTAGAAGAGTGGGTGTTACCCAAATTGTATCTGCAGAGCTCTAGAGCTTCAAAGTTCAGCAGGCCTGAAGTCAGTCTTAGGATTCCACAAAATGATAAAAGAAAATTAAATAAGGGGATATAACCAACTCATCAAATCTTGTGATGAGGGAGAACCTATCCTTAAGAGAGAAGCCTGCCTCTTGTAAAAAGGTAAAGACAGTCCTTTTTTTTCCTTCTCCCAACCCAACCCAATCTAGATTTATTCCCATTTGGCACAAAAATCAAGACTGGTAGAAAGGCTTCAAGTTGTAATGGAAGATTGCCTACCTGAAGCAGGCTGAAACATCCTACCTAATCTCAAACAGAGATGGGGAGTAAGAGGAATAAGTTAACAAACAAGGCAAAACAGATGCTTGAGAAAGGACACTCCCCCATTTTTGCCTTCCCAAATCACTGCAGTTCAGTAAGTGCTAAATAAGCAGTGGGGGATTGGAAGAACAGATCTTGGTCCAAGAGTTAAAGGAAGGGGGAAGCACGTTCTTAGAAGAAATCACCTCCTCAAATCAGTTTCTCCATGCATAAAAGAACGTGAAAGGAACAAAGTTGGAGGGGGGTGTGAGTTACTGCATGCTATGGTGTGGGGAGAACTGGCCTGGAGCAAATCTCAGTGCATGTGCTTTATCCCTATGGCTGGGGCATGGCAGAGAACACCGTGGCTGAGGACAAGTCAGATGGCCTATGGCAGATGCTGACCAAAAGAACTGTGAGAAAGTGCTAGAGAGAGAGAGAGAGGAAGAAGAAAAATAGTTTCAAGTATACTGGTCAGGGAATAGTGAGCAAGGTCCCCATGTGGGCAGAGTCAGTTTTTCCCAGTTCCTCAGGCCCATGCCTAGGTTCTCTCTGCTTCTGTATCCTCATCAGCCTCCAGAATTGAAGGCGGACTCTTCGCTTCTTCTCCGCGGCCTGCCCTGCTCAACACTTCCATCCACCGCTGCCGCAGCTCCTCAGTCTCAGGGCTGAAATACCAGCACAGGTGGCTCTGGCTGATCCGGAAGGCGTGGCGTCGGTCCACCCGTTCGCTGGGCTCAGGAAGGTTTACTTCAAACCCAATCAGAGGCATTGAGCGCTGAGCTTTCACATCCTGCAGGATGACAGAGCGGGAGGCACGTTGAGAGGTTACAAACAGCCCTGAACTGACCCGGTGAGCCAAGATCAATTGCCCTGCTGGCTTAGTCTTCTCTTTTCCCAAAGAGATTCACGCCCAATCGAGCATTCATATCAGATGAGCCCGCTGCCTTTTGACAGCTGATTTTTATCTTTGGGGAGAGGGCGACCTCTAAGTCAGGAGAAGGCACTTTGTGGCTTGCATGCAGCCCTCCGTTCCTTCAGAGCGCTATTATTCAACAGCCTTTCGGACCCATGATTCCAAGAGGCAAGAGTTAAATAAGCAATTAGCTAAATATTCCATCCTTACCACACTTCTCCAACTGAACTCCCCCGAAAGATAAAAATGATAGCACTATGTCACTGTCGTGCCCTTTGTGGCTACTAAAACAAAAACGAAGAAGGAAGGAAGAAAGTGCAGCCCTTGGCTAGAAAATGTTGCCCACCTGCACCTTAACATGTGAACCGGAGTCTCACTCTAAACCCTGGGGTGGGGTTGCCATTCTCACACAAAAGGAGGTTTGTTACTGTCTTCCAGGTTAAGGTAAGGAACCAAAAGCAGATGGTAGAGGAGAAGGGGGGCACTGCCATACCTGCGGGGCTCCGTAGATGTATAACACCAGAGGTTCATTTTCAGGGATGACAAACCAGCCTTTGTGCCAAGCCTTCCCTCCTTTCTCCATGTAGTGCAAGAAACTGCAGATCACACTGTTCTCTGCCACCACAGAAGCTTGTTTCTGCAGCAAGGCCAGAAAGGTTAAGTGTTACCCACCGAGATCTGCAGCTCATGTGCTACACCACAAATGAGACATAAAATCTAGTGATTAGAATATAGATGGGGAATCTGTGTCTCCTCCTCCTCCTCCTCCTGCTCCTGCTCATCTGCTGCTGCTGCTGCTGCTTAGTTACAGCTCCCAGTATCCCATAGTTTTGACCACGTTGGTGGGGCTTCTGGGAGTTGTAGTTCAGCAATGCCAGGAAGTCATAGGTTCCTCACCAATTGGCTTGGATGCTGGACTAAGACTGAGATAAGCAAGGTTCAGATTACATTCAGCCACAGATCTTATAGGGAGATATTAACCTAATCCACCAGATACATAGATACAGTACAGAGAGAGAGACCAGCATTTTCAAAACAGCTTAATGCAATCAAGTAGTGTTTCTCTAAATATAGAAATGGCTTATATCTGTTCTAATAGGTCAGCCAAAGGCAAAATATATTTCTAAAATAACACGCATAAGTTTCTAATTGGAAAAAGAGTAAGAAGAAAAAAAGCTAAGAAGAAGCAGGCAAATGGAAGAGAAAATGAGGGACAGGGGAAGGGAAGGAATTTCAGAGGGAGAGACTCTGTAAGATTTCCTCAAGTTCTCTCAACTCTGTAGCCTTTGCTCCTGTTAGAGCTCTTCATACAAAACAAAGTTCAAGGTTAGTCTCTGGAATCTCTCAAAAACATCTCAAGCAGCAGAGACAGAAAAACGTTCAACGAGTTATCACTAACTGAATAGGTGGCATCAGTGCTTGGGCCAGATCTGAAATGACCTTCGCATTTTGAATTTGAAGGACTATTAATTTAATCAGGAAAATTTCCCAAAAAATACAATCTAATAACATACTATTTGGCTTTTCTGTATTTCCACAAGCCTGATAACCAGCATACATCTTCCCTTTTCATTCACTAATAAGCAAATATGTTTGCTCTCCGTTTCAGGGTGCAACATTTTATGGTAGTACAGTTACGTGGAAAAGTATGGGTGCTCTTTCGGATCTTCTGAATTCCTATGTACCTTTGCCAATGCAGGTTATTAGAGCTCCATGAGGATCCCACAGACATTGTATTCTTAATGGGAAAATGGGGCAGGGAACACAAAGCCAAATAAAAGCTTGCATAAAAAGCTGCAAGAAATAGATTTAAAGAAAGAAAACTCCCTCCAGAAGTGTCCTGTCAACAAATCCAGCAGGTAGCCTTGAAGAAAATGCTTTGCTGCCCGCAAAGACAGCCTTAGATATAAGTACTACTCTTACCTCCAGAATGGATTTCCGGCGTTGGGGCGTGTTGGGGTGCGGCGCAGGGCTGGCAGGGGAGCCATGAAGCGTGGTGTAGCAGTCAGTGCAGACACGGTTTGGCCGGTTGTTGTCATACACCAAGCGGGCCCGGAACTCTGAGCACTTTCCACAGACAACCTGCAGGAGACAACCTGCATCAGTGGTGGTAGGCGCCCAAGGTTGTTTAGAGGATGTTTTAGGGCTCTTCCACACTGCACCGTTCAAATGCTCCTCTCCCCCATGCTCAAGCAGGCTTGCGAGAATGGATTTCAATCTGTCCTTCAACCTTGGAACAATGCTGGAGAGCAGATCTCTCCAGACAGTGGTTAAGATGGCTACTTAAGGCCAACTGGTGAATTCCCCAGCTGCTTCTTCCCTGTTACCATGTACCAGGACAACAGTTGGATCAGTCTTCTGGATGCGTTGCCTTCTACAGGTCTTAATGGGAGATTTACCATAGTCTCTCAGCCTAAAACAACTTGGCCTTGTGCAAAGGTGCTATTGAGACCATCTGCTATTTGCCCCGATTATCAGAGCAGTCAACAAACCCGTTTCTCCTTTACTGACACCATTTGTAGGACAAAATGAAAGTTTTCTTGCTGTCTTCCTTCTGTCAGATAAGAAAACTCAGATCATGTACAATGTTGCCATATTCTGTATGGCAGCAATGAAGATCAACAGATGGGGCAAATACATTATACTTTTTTACTGACAAGGTGTGATGGAATGGTGTTATGAAGGCCACGCTCAGGGAGATAAGCATTTCCTTAGCCCCCA